GGGGGGGGGGGGGGGGGGGGGGGGGGGGGGGGGGGGGGGGGGGGAACGACAGGTGAGGAGGATGAGCGCTATATGTGTGTGTTGGTGGTTTCCGTGTTGTGGTGCTGGTTTGAGGTGATATAGCCCTTAAAGACATTACCCGAGTCAAAGCACGACGTGTGCTGTGTGGATACATAACACAGAGCAGTCCTTGAAACATTTCATTTCCTCTATTCCTCTACTAGGTTCTTGATTTTATTATGATCTCTCACTGAATTTAACGGTATTACTTGTAAGAGAGGTATATGCCTTTGGAGATTTATGGCATAACTATATTTTTTTTCCATGTTGTTTCATTATGGAAGTGATAAAGGATATGTAAGTTTCTGTCATGTGTCGGGTACCAGGTCATTGGCCTTGAAGCCTCATTATACATTTCAGTTCAAAATTGTACCTTAAGTTCCGGTAATACTACCTAGAACTAACAGTGGCTACCTGGCACATGTGAATGTCTACTGCTGTTACTGATATAATGAATTCAGAAGTATTTTTTTAATTCAGCGATTATATTCTTAGATCAGTGACTAAGTTACAATAAAAATAATGGTGTATTTATCTACATTTTTATAGGTTTTGCTGAGAACAACAGCAGGAGATATAGATATAGAATTATGGTCAAAAGAAGCACCAAAAGCATGTCGAAATTTCATCCAGCTTTGTATGGAAGGTAATGACTGAATGGGATAGGAATTGTTGAAATTATTCCATATGCAATCTTTGTCCCTTTTTTGTAAAATGGAGGTCATAACTATGTCTTAACTCTAGTATGTTAATGAATTTATTTGTATTTAGAAAATATTAGCTAACTCAGACAATGTTTTTCAAGGTTATTAAGGAACCCGGTGGAAAAAAACCAAAACATTTTAGATGGTTTTCTCAAATGTAGCAGATGATGTAGTATTACTGAAAAGTATGTCAGAGGCTTGGGAAGGCTTATTTTCAGCAAGTCTCTACAAAGTATAACTAATTCTTTAATGTATGTATGAAATGGCAATGATGCAATATTGGACATCCTCCAAAATTCTCACTTCTGTATCACCATCTTTACTACCTTTTAATTTTTTTCATGAGTGCTTCTAATGTTTCATTTGCTGTAGTTTTTTGTTGATGGAAGCTCTGTAACACTGTTAACTGAAGTAGTGAGTACCAGAATGAAAAGCTCCCTATTGGGAAAACTGTAACAAGAGTTTGTGAAGGACCTGGTGCCTTTGTGTTTTCTAGCTGCTGCTATTATCCCTTTTATGTGTTTATAGAGTGGTTAAGAGTTCTTTTAGCTTTTCTCTGTTAAGGAAAAATAGCAGTCTAGGATTTGTGCCTTCAGCATGGATCCAGCCTGTTCTGTGTTCTCCAGAACACACCTAATGTGGAGATGTAGAGATTTTTTGCGATGGTAAATCAATTTCTTAGCCCTTGGTAAGTCCTAAGAGTTCAGTTATCTTCAGTGTTAAAGAACTGGGCTTTATTTCCTTTCTGAATTTGTCTGACTGCTGTGTAGGATCCTATGCTTTGTATAATAAATTTGAGTATTTCTCTTGTGAGTATCCTAGCATATAACCATCTGTGAATATATCTAGCTATGCTGCAGGATTTGCAGATCCTGCTTTGTCTTGAAGCATGCTGCAGATTTATTTTTATTTATTTAAGAAAAAAAATCAACCCAAAATACATGTCAAGTAAAGTTAAGTTTGCATTCCTTTTGTTTTCTTATGATCTCATAAACCTTATCTGATAGATAGATAAAAGAGGATAACTTAGGGAGCAAAGTGTACCACATATTTCATCCTGTGAAAATGATCAGTTTGGGTACAGTGTAGGTGGCGGAAGGGGTGACACCTGTGTTCCATGCTGGTGAGTGAAAATGCTAATAATTTGGTGTATGAATGTGGCTAACGATGTATGTGAGGTGTTGGCTGGGACAGAGCATAGTAGTTTTAGCTCTCCTTTTAAATTGATGTAGGTTGGTAGTATCATTCCAGTGATAAAACTTAAAAGCTGAAAAGAAAATAATTCATCAGTATCATCTTGTTGGTGATGTGCAGTGTATTTTGCAACAGAAACATATGACAGCACCTTTTTTTCATAAATGTCATCAGCAATACTTTGTAGCTGAGATACAGTCACACTGAACAAGACAGTGGAAGAGGAGGGAACGCAGTGGAAATAGCAGAATCCAGTTACAGTGCTTGCTTTCTGGAACTTCAGTCTCTAGACATCTCTGCATGATCTATATGAAAGTTTGATTTTGAGACCACTTACACATACTTAAAATCTTTTTTTTTTTTTTTTAGAGTATTACAACAACACAATATTTCACAGAGTAGTGCCTGGCTTTATAGTTCAGGGAGGTGATCCCACTGGTACTGGATCAGGTGGAGATTCAATCTATGGAGCTCCCTTCAAGGTACATATCCATATATGTTATGCATTTATTTTTGGTTATTCTCTACCAGTTGTTAGTCCTACTGTGTTAGGTTGTGAGAAAACAAACCTTATATTAGAAATGCAACATTATACATGCAACAGTAGTTGCTTTCACATGTTGCTTCAGTATTTTTAAATATGCCTTCTTGAATTGAGAGTTCTTAAATCTGGCTGTTCTGATATTATGATAAATATATAAAAGTACTAGCATGAACTTCACAAGGAAAAATAGGGAGGGGGAAGAGTAAAGAGTAGGTGTTGGTATGTGGCAAACTCAGATGCAGAAATGTACAGTTTACACACATTGTATCTCATTTAGCAAACGTCTCTGAATGTTGTATATGTGTTCATTGGTATTATTGATACCAGCATGGCTCATCTCTTAACCAGGAGGCTCAGATCCTGAGTGAAGCTACACACGCACAGCAGCTGTGTTCTGTTTGGCCTGATTGTTTCACTTCAGATGGGGTGGGCACCTTTAACTCATGACTGAAGCTGCATAGCCTGACTTTGGGCCCTCCATCTCCCTGCTGCTAAAGTAGACTCACACATATAACACGAACATCAAGTTTGTGGAAAGGATTGGTACCTGAGCAGGGAACAAAACAAATGTTACCAATATTGTAGTAGCATTGCTGCTTAAAATTAGTGGTATCTCAATATTGCAGTGTTTAGATTTGTGATACTACCATGGTATTAATATATTACTCATAGCTTTCACCTTGCTTTGAAAGTAGTCCTATTCTGTCTCCTTATGGTCCAGAAAATGTTCTTCCTATGGGTTTTTGCAATACTGTACTATTACAACCTGTTATTGAGCTTCCAGTTATTTTACATGAATTAGGATTTTTCCCCTAAATACAGTAGTTAACAAGAAAGCATTTCATACACTTGTAAAACTATCAGTTACCTTTAGAAATGCTTTGGATTTTTTTAATATTGGGGGGGTAATAAATGCCAACAAAAATAATGAATAACAGTTGATTATTAGGCAATAATTGGAAAAAGAGAAAGTTAACAAGGTAGAACTTAGAGTTTTTATTAAATCATGTGTCTTTCTATTATTGATATACTAGTTTCTAATTTTTTTCTTTGGTGTTTGTTGGTTATGTGTTTATGGTTTCTTTTGAAAGAAGATTGTTCACTTGTTTGCATTATATAGGCTCTAAGAAGAAAAAACATTGACTAAAAATAATCTTTTCTGCTGAAAACAGAAGCTTTTAAATAGAATTGTGGCATTAAGTTTCAAAAGACTTTGGTTTTATTATTGTCTGAATTCAAAAGAAAATCAACAGCATATTTTCTGTTTGTGCATATTGATGTAAGTAAGCCATAGCTAAAGAAGTGGAAAAAATAATTACATACTTAAATTATGTTCTTTTCTGTCTTTGCCAGGATGAGTTCCACTCACGATTGCGATTTAATCGAAGAGGACTTGTTGCTATGGCAAATGCTGGGCCCCATGATAATGGGAGTCAATTTTTCTTTACGTTGGGTCGTGCAGATGAACTTAATAACAAGCACACAATCTTTGGAAAGGTCTGCTACACAAACTACAGTCCCAGTTTGAGTTTGACAGAAGCTACTATAAGTTTCTCTGTATTCAAAGGCTATTTTAGTGTTGTTTGCTGCTACGTACATTTGAAATTTATTTCACTGCTTTCTAAGCTGTCTCTGTTCTTTTTGTTTCCCATGTCTGGTAGAAATGTTTCTATGGGTTGTTCTCGTAATTATCTGTTTTGCTGTTGTTACTCTTCTAAATTATATTTTTGTGTTGTGCTTCCTTGGAATAATCTTACTGGTATTATAATGGCTCTGTCTTATCAATCAGTTCATCTAATACTAGTGACATTTTAGAAAATTCTGTTTCTAAATTCTAATTACCGGAGAAGAATCAGGAAAAGGAAAAACATAACCCTGACCCTAACCGTAAACACTAAATGTAAGATTTATTTGAAAGAAAATAAACCAACTATTTCTTTATTTCAGTGTCTTTTATTTTCCTGTTTCACAGCTCACAGTAAGAATTTGACATCTTCCCCTGCATATGCTCTCAAAAATGTGGGTTTAGTTACCTGTATTCCTTCAACTTTTGCTGTTTAAAAAAACAAACCTTTGTACATTGTACTTGCTGTCTTTTAGAAGACATGCTTACAGTATTTCCCGTATCATTTGTATTTTCAAAATTCTTTGGATAATAATTGCCTTGCATTTTGCACAATAATTAACAAAAATTATAGGCAAGGACTTTAAACCTTTTTTATAAATTTGACAGGTTACAGGGGATACAATATATAACATGTTGCGCCTGGCTGAAGTAGAAGTTGACAAGGAAGAGAGACCTCTCAGTCCACATAAAATAAGAAGTAGTGAGGTGAGTATGTTCTGGTTTGAAACTTGAAATTTTAAAATTTTTGTTCATAAGCATTCAGAAAACTGTGTCCTAGTATGAAAACTTGGCATGTCTTTTTAGATACTGTTTTAAAATATTGAATCATTTAATTATAACAAAATACTTACTAAAGATGTGTCTAAAATACTACTTTTTTAACAGGTTTTGTTTAATCCTTTTGATGACATTGTTCCAAGACCAAATAGAAAGCTGAAGAAGGATAAACCAGAAGAAGAACCTAAAAAGTCCAAAGTAAAAGGCACAAAGTAAATATATGCAACATAAGTGATGGTTAATTTTCTTTCACCTTTAATTTCCAGCTTGGTAATTTTGTATTTCTGCTTTTGAAACACAGGGCTTTACCAAAGTGCACAGAGGAATGTTCTCTAATCTTAGCCAAACCTACTTCCTTGTTTCTGAAGAGATCATACAAATCTAGTTGCTCTGACTGAAGTGGTTACTGTGCATCAGCTGAGCTGTAACTGTTTCATGCATGCTGACAGTTTGTTGCAAAAGAGAGGTAAAAGGTAGCATTAAGCCTTTCCCATGGGCAAGAATGTGCAATCATTCTTGTGACTGAGATGACACTGAAGTTAGTATGTACTAGTAACTAGGTCATAGCTCAGTTGTTTGAGGTTTTTGAACTTTATCAGCTACCACTTCTCTCCCACTAAAATACTTAGCAAAAAGCAGGCATTTTAACATGGGAAATTTCAGTTTCTGTGAATGAAATTTGGTAGTCATAAACATGCAATGAAAAGTAATAGGAAATCTAGACTGTGTGTATGCTGTCAGTTCTGTTGGACAGACATACAACATGTTGCGACTGACTGGTTCTAACATAATGAAAACAATTTTTTTTTTTTTCCCCAAAAGTAAAGATCATTATTTCTTTTAATTACATTCTGTGAATGTGGGTGCATTTGATGCCTTTGTGAGCAGTCATACCTTGAAAGTTTTGTGTTTGGTACTTGAATGTTGCTCTGTGGGGAAAAAAAAGATTGGAAAAAAATGCAACTGCTCTGTTTTCAGAGCTGTCAGCATTTAAGTCTGTAAAAGTTAGTCAAGGCAGAATTTTTTAAATTCTGTCTTACCATTTTCTAAGTGATGCTTAACTATCTTGATTGTTTTGTCTCAGGAATAGAATAGAACATGCTTCTCTAAATATTCATGGTTTATTGCAAAACAACATGTTTGAAATTGATACATTTAGCAGGACAAAGTTTTTTAAAAAATTGCATACAATATGAAAGTAATATATTTAAATTTTATGGAATGTTAATAAGACAGTATGTAATGTTTTACTAGAAAATGTGTTTTCTTTCTTAAAGAAATTTTAACCTGCTTTCCTTTGGGGAGGAAGCTGAAGAAGAAGAGGAGGAGTCAATAGAGTTAGTCAGGTACTGTACCAAATCATCCCCATTTTTCTTTTTAACTTAAAATTACCTTTTTTGCATGTTTGTGAAAAGCTTTAAAGTTCTTAATCTTGTTCTTATGTTTGAGTGTTGAACAATAATACTAGAAATTACTTCAGTTTTTATGATTCTACTATTTTAACATGTTGAAAAAACCAGACATTTTAAACTTTTCTAACTTTGAAAATGCCTTAAGTTACTGTGTGATATTTTTACATTTCCATAAACAAAGTTTCATACTTCTAGTGTAGATCTGTGTCTGCTCTTTAAAATTCATGGAGGTGATAGGTACTTTACTCTCCTTCACCTCCTTAATTGTAAGTGTGTGATTTGATGGTAAAATACTTGAGGTTTGAAATAAATCAATTTGTTCACTGCCAGTGCATTCCTAGCTCCATTTTCTTATGTATATCCATTCTGTGTGCAAAATCAAGTGCGGTTATTGTGGGGAAAATAGTGCATTATCATAATTAAATATTGCACTGTTGTGAATTGCCCATGTTCACAGAACTAGGGTTGCATAGGTAGTCTTTGATCTAACATTTCCTTATCTGACTTTGCCACTTAAATAAGTTTAGTTTAAAAATTTCTTTAACAAGTTGTCATTCTCATTTCTACTGCTGACCAAATTATTTCTCTAGAGCCCTAGGCTTTCTTACTTATTTGTACGATTCGGGTACCTACCCGCTTCAGTTAGCGATCAGACTACATGCTGCCGAGTCCTGTACCACATAAGTGAAAAAATGGTCCTCAGTCCTCAGGATTTAGTTAAAATACAAAAGACAACAGTGAATAATAATGGAGAATATTACAGTGAGGTGGTATCAGTCAGAATGATAGTAGAGGTTTATCACAATGGTAGTTTTAATTTTTAACTAAGAAAAATATTCTTTCTTGTTTCAACTTGCCAGTCAGACTAACTATACTTGTTTACCTTAACATGCTCATCTGCAGTTCTGCTCTTGGTATATGTCTGGTATTTAATACTTCATTTAACTTGGTTGCTTTGATGTTTTCCCCTTTCATGCCAAATACTTGCTTTTCAGTTTAAAATGATCTAAATAGAACCCCTCTTTCATGACAAGTCCAGTTTCAGTGTTGTCATGGTGTCTTCAACTCAGTCTTAAAATCTCATCCTCATATTTGTCCTGACTAAATTCTGGACTAGCTGTAGGTGGGAAAATAGCCAAATCAACTGTTAATGAAGAATTTCTATTCATTCTTTACAACAGAATGAAATCTTTTTTTCCGAACCTCATTGCTTGTTTCTAATAGGTCTAGATCAGTATCTGTATAGTTCTGGACATTATGTTAATCTTGGTTAAGTTCAAGTATGTGAACTTCAGCACCAACTTTCATTCTCTGTTTTTGATAAGAAAAATTGAAGGTCAAAGTTAATAATGGGATTCTCTGACATCTACAAATTCAGAATCCTTCTGTGAACTTTTTTTTGGTTGCTAGATGCAGTAAGACTTGATTGTTTCAACATATTGAAGGTCAAAGTTAATAATGGGATTCTCTGACATCTACAAATTCAGAATCCTTCTGTGAACTTTTTTTGGTTGCTAGATGCAGTAAGACTTGATTGTTTCAACATAAGAGGGTATACTTTCAAGGACTAAGGTTGAGAGGAAAGTCTGCAAGTAACTGAGGAATCCTCTAATAGATCTGGGAAAAGGGAACATTTTCTATTAATTTTCAGTGCAGTGAGGCTGAGGCTAAAATTATCTAAAGAGTAAATGAAAACACCATGTGTCAGGATGAAATTTTTATGGTATTTAATGGTTTCGTGTTTACATGTGAAAAATAAGAATTCTTGTCTTCGTCACATCATATTAACCAAGTAAGTACTGAATTTAAGAATGCCTCCCTAAGTCTTTTCTCCATCTTCCCCATTATGAACAATTTTCTACTCTGGATTTGTTCAGCCTGCACTACACTTAGTCTAAGTAAGTGAATATATTTTGCCTTTGCTGCAATGCATCACCAGATTCTTGTTCCTGAGACTGTACAAAGAAGGGCAAGAAGGATAACTGGGGATATGGATCATAGTAAGATTAAAATAAATTTTTAAAAAAGGGAGAGAGGGAGGGAAAGATGAGAATGATTATTCCCTATTTCTTACAATATGAAAGTTGAGACACAAAGATAAATGAGCAAATAAGTATACAAAGAAAAAGTATTTTTCCCTCTTGGAATTTAAGCTGTGAACATTTATGGGCAGGACATGATTAAAGTGAGAAGTAGAAATACTTTTAAAACAAGATTAAGCAAAGGATTAGGACCATTGGTTTCTTTTAAATGTTACAGGTCAAATTGTGTCTTTGTATCAGGAGAGTCTCTAAATGGTTATATTACAGAGAGTATGAATCTTAGAAAGAAAATTTGTTTACCCCAGGAGGTTATAGAAGGCAGAGATCACAGGATTAGGGAATTTTGTGTCAAGGAGTGGCAAGAGCGGAATGGCTGCATGAGGGAAGGCAAGTGCAGAGGCAGGAGTGATTCCAGTACAGGCAGTGTGCTTACCAACAGGGGCACAATCCCACAGGGTCTGGATACAGCTGGCAGAGTTGGTTGCTGGTAACAGGGTCCATCAACAGTCCTGGACACGGCAAGCAATAACCAAGACCAAGGTCCTCATCCAGGCAGTCCAGTCAGGAGCCAGCAAGAGATGGGGCAGGAGACAGGGCTGGAGACAAGTCTACAATGTGGGTCCAACAGGCCCATCTAGAAGGTGGAATTAGACACAGGTACACCTCTGACATAGCTCAGGCAGACAGTGGATTCTCAGGCCTGAGCTGAAATGGTGCTAATGGGCAGAGGAGCTCCAGGTAAAACTCCTCAGGGCCACCAAGGCTATTACTGCACTTGGGGACCTGACAGTGGGACTCCCACTGGTTGTTGATTAGTGTTTAAACTGAAGCTTTCAGTGTCCAAAGAGCTCATTTAATTGTCTGTACATGCTTGGAGCAGTTTACAGCACTTGTCTTATGTTTCATCTGGCTCTTGAACACGCACACAAATTACTTGTTTTAGGAAGTAATTTTTCATGTTGCTGAACGTGTTAGTCTTTTGTTCTACATAATAAAAAATCGAAGTGGTGTTTTAAATGAGTAAGATTTTATTATCCACACAACTACTGCCTTCCTGAAAGGATTATAAAATGCCACTGAAATAGAGACATTCAGGTCACAATGCAGACTGTTCCTGTAACAGAGATTTTCAGTCTGAAATTTAAGTGTACTTTTTGGATTAGCAGCTTTCTTACTGCAGTCTTTCTGCCTGAAGATCTTATGTGGTGTTAGATTTATTTGACTGCTTACTTCAGTAGATGATTCCTGCATGGTGTATTGCAGGTTCATGTATTGCAGGTTGTTAATTTCTTTTTTTTTTTTTTTCCTAGGGGTCTAATTAGTGTTCTACCAATTGATAAGTACTGCTTTGTACATGCTAGTTCTTTGAGTTGTCACATGCCATTACTGGAAAGTCATGTTCTTACCTCTTCATTCACTCAAGTATATATGTGCTAGGCCATGTATCTTTATGATGTGTAATGATTGTGATGATTAAACAATCTTTTTTTTTTTCCCCTCTTTCCTTTAAAATTAAGTGCATTACTGTTGCAAAAATACTTTTTAAATCCATGGGGTCAGTTCGGTGCTCCTCTTTCTGGAACGCCTTCTCTGTTCATCTGCTATTAAAAGTGTTTATGCTTACTGGTTAGGCTAAAGCTAACAAGAAACAAGTTATCTTGTTCTTACCATTCTCCTTTTTCACCATCTGTTCTCTCAAACACTGAAATTTATAATACCTTTTTTCTTTTCTTTTTTTTTTAACAGAGCATGAAGGGAAAAAGTAAAAGTAGTCATGATCTACTAAAGGATGATCCACATCTAAGCTCAGTTCCTGCTGTCAAAAGGTGAATATGTGATTTCCAATTTCCAGAACAGATTTACTTTCAGGATGTTAGACCTGATTAGCATCACGTATACTCATTGTTTGTCTGTTACTCTTTAAGAAATTAAGAATGGCCATGCGGGATCAGACCAAATGTTCCTCTAACTCACTATGCTGTCACTAACATTGACCATCAGTGGACACCCAACAAAAAATAAAAGCAGGGCAAGTGTAATGTTTACCTGAGTAGTCTCGCAGCCTCCATCTACTTTCAACTCAGCGGACTGTCAGAGTTTGATGTGTTTCATCTATTTAGTAATCCTTAATAGAGCTCTCGTCAAAGTACTTATTCAGTCTCTTGTAATACTGCTTACATTCACACCCTCCTGTCTGCTGCAGGAAGAAGAACCTCCCCTTTTTGTTCTGAACCTGGCTGCTACTGGCGTCATTTGATAAATTCTAACTCTTATGCTGGAAGAGACAGTGAGCAGTCAGTCCCTTTATACCTCTCTTTACTACAATCCCTTCTTAGGCCATCTCTTTTCTAGCCTAAACTTTTAAAGACTTACTCAACTTTTTTTCACACAGTTCTGTACCTGTGGTTATTCTTGTTGCTCTTCCCAACCCTGGTTCTGTTCTAGAATACCTCCCCGCCC